CACAAAAAATAAAAAAAAATGAAGTCCGAGTTCCCGTAGAAAATAGAGAAAATTTATAAAAAGAAGATGAAAGGATTTTTATTCATTAGGGGATCCAGGCCGTACGTTTGGCTGTTCGGGATGTATAAGTACGCAGCCACAATCGGTCAGAATATAGACGTTAAGTCCGATGCCTCGTATAGAGAGAGTGCCATGCAAACTTTCAATCAATCAATCAATCAATCTACAAATCAATCAATCAACCAACCCATCAATCAATGAAACTGTTTAATACGTGGTCCAAGATCTCATATGTTTCTTTTTCGCTTGTTCCAAGAGACCCTATCCCATGTGTTTAATTAGTATATCAATCAACCAACCAACCAACCAAACAACCAAACAACCAAACAACCAAACAACCAATCAATCAATCAATCAATCAATCAATCAATCAATCAATCAATGTTTCCGAGTGGAAAGACCGTTAAAAATTGTTTTTAAAACAATTGATTTATATTTAAGGTAAATTTACGGTAAAATATAAATATTAACTTCATGCATTTTTTACCACCTTTTGTGCCATTGATTTGAAAATGTAAAATGTACTTGCATAACCAAATTAGTGATGTACAGAGCCCGTGGAAGAAATAAATACGCATTACATTCAATTCAATACAAAAACAGGATTAATGACGACCAATAACTATTCTATTTATCAACGTCTCCAGATAAGAAAAAAAATATTTTCAAATTCATTCTTCTCAGCTTAACATTAATTACAGATGTCTTCTTGCAAATACATAAAAAAACTTGAAACTATTTTGAAAAAACAATTGGTGTCACACTTAAACATTTCCATGTTAAGTAGACCGCAGAATTTTAAACAAAATCACAGTTTTCCCATATATTTGAACATGTGTACTGACTTTTATATCTATATTGTCCTTATTTCATGGTTAACTTCATCAATCCAAATCTGTAAACTGATACATACCCATGTTAATTGAACCACAAAATTTGGGTCAAATCTAAATTTGACAAATATTTCAAAAACTGCATGTCATAATGAAATGTGTATTAAGTCTCAAGTTGATATGATCTCACAAACGGACGGACGATCAACAAACCGGCAACCTTGTACAGGATATGAGCTCTGAATCTATTTAGGCGCAACTTGTCGTAATCTAAAATCGTTTGGTGTTGACACGATATCGATTGTTTCAACATCATTTTTTTTTTTTGTCTGGACATGTGAAATGTTGCTTTTGTTGGATCGAACCAGTTCTTAGCAGGAAGGAAAGACTAAGGTAACCAGCTTTCAACACTCAATTCATCATTAGTATCGACCTGCATAACAAAAAAAAATAAAATACCACACAGAAACCTTCTACTTGTAAACAATTCGAGTTCTTAGATTGATGTAATGCTAATAGTTAATTTAGTTTTCTTTTATATTTATTACGTAGGGCCTTTTAGCACGTCAACAACTTTGAATAATGGTAGCCTGTTTTCTTCAAATTCAACAAATACTTCTACAAACATTTTTAAGGTACAGGAACTCGGCAAAAAGAATCCAACACTTGGTATGATAATTTGAATCTGTTAGATATTGGACACACCAGCAAACCGTATAGCCCTACAACAAAGTGATAAATGTAATATTGGTAAATGCAGCAGAAAAAAAAATTATTCGGAATTTTTAGCACGGTTTCCGACGAAATTACCGCTTATCAATTTTAGGTAGTGCGGAGAGCATGCTAGCTGGCGGGATGGCCGGTTCGTTTCAAACTTTTTCCGTTCGATAACTTGATTACCATTCAACCAATCTCAAATTTTAAAATATTTTTGCTCATAACAAAATTGATATCAAGTTCAACATTAATAACTTCAGAGGTTGGTTGATTGGAAATTGATTGTAATGTCGTTTCAAGTGATAATTTGAGATCTTTTCAACCAATAGACGTATTTAACCATTTTGGAGGTTTAACGGAATTGTCTCCGAATGGCCCAATATTTGTCTCCGAATATTTTTCTGATGTCACACAACCATAACTTTTTCAATCATATATGATATCAAATGTTTTAAATTAGGATGCCATATTTTGCTGGGCCTTATGTGGTTTTAAATAATGAAATACAAGTGTAAATACATCTACTCTTTTCTCATTTTTTTCTCAACTATTTTGTCTTATGACAAGTTTGTGGTCAATTTTGTTTGGTTTTCACGTTTAGTGTGCTGTTAAAGTGTTATGGTCCTTGATTACCTTAACAAAGTTGTGTCTATGTAGTTAATTGACAATTTGCCTTTTACATGAACGTATACACTTACTAATCCTGACTAAAAATGTCCGTTAAGTCCAAGTTCCATATGTTTTTCTTTTCTGTGGGAAATCTAGGGAACGAAAACAAAAGGAAATTCACTCTTCTCATGATAGAGTCCAGAAAGTCAATAATAAAACAATGCCGGTGACGATACTGATCAAAAGTTATTTCTAAATAATAGTTGTACATTTTAAAGAAATTATTTGTTGAATTGGGTTATTAGAAATATACATGCAAATACACGATGTTTTATGTTCAGTATGTATCAGGGATGGGCACGATTACTGACAAATGTAATCGATTAATAATCGATTACTTGAGGGATTTTTGTGTAATTGATTAATAATCGATTACTCTGATTTTTGTATGTAATCGATTGCAATCGACAATCGATTACTTTATCAAAAGTAATTACATTACTTTTCGATTACTGTCAATTACATGCTACAAAATTACAAAAAATTGATAAAGTAAGTTAAACGCAATTATGTTTTTCAATGTATGTAAAGTGGAAATTAGAACTTTACAAAAACAGCATTAAAAGCATTGTTTCCAAATTTTAAGTTGACAGTTGTTTTCTAGATGGAAGCTCTTACTGAGGATCCGAAATGTTAAAAAAATCTTGAAATTTGGGTTTTCAACATGAGTGAATGGTGATAAAGTTCTTGCAATGACAACACATTGCTTCAGTCACTTCTTTATATTTATGGTTATTTTTTCCATATTTTGCAAACTTTTGCCGTCATACTGACTTAAGTTAGGTATTTTGTTTTTAACTCATTTTTACTAGGTATATTTGAATATAGATCATTACAATGTTGGAAGTTTCCTCTGAAAAAAATATAGAAAAATTAACTAGTTCAGCTAATTTAAATTAATTTTATAGATGTGTATATATATTATTTATAATTAGTACATGCATGATTTAATCCTTTTGTTTGGATAACCTCCCTAATTATAGGTTATAAAACTGCTAATGGAGTACAATTTATAACCATGGGCAATATAATGTAAATCTTTAATTAGACATAATTGAAATCAAAACAAAAGTGGCATCTCATTGATTAGAAGTCCTTGATCATCTGATTAGTAAAGACAAGAAGTTTTTTGAGAATTTTTAATGCTCTATTCATTCAAAATTATAAACAATATATATATTTAGTGTCAAAATTGGATACATGTATTTTTTTCTGAACAAGAATTTTAATGCATAGCCATTGGTTCATTGTCAAAAGGATTTTGTGTACTTTCTTAATTTTATATCATAATATTATGACAAATCAACTGTTTTTCTATTCTTAAATTAAAATTCCAACATCTTATTAAAAATTACGCTTTTATGGATTTTAATACAATTAAGCTTAATACTTCGATGTAGTACAGAACTTAACATAAGACTCATTTCTTATTTTCAATCTATTTTCAGACAGTAGCTGAGTTATTTCAAAATAAAAAGTCTTAAATTATTGACAATCAAGTAAAGTCATTTGTTTCAAAAGCTGAATATAAAGTAAAATTTGGTAGGAGATCTGGTTGATCGTAATGCAGCTCGAAACAATAGATAGAAATAAGGCATTTGATAAACTCTGAAGTCATATTAATACATTCTATTTTATCTGTACTTTAAAGTGATGAATACATAAATATTTTCATTTAAATAGGTTATATTTCATTAAACTTTTACTAAAGTAATCGAAATGTAATCGAAAAGTAATCGTTGATTACATCATAATTTTTGCTGTAATCGCTTAAATTACGATTACATGTAATCGAACATATCTTCGATTACAGATTACTGTCAATTACTTGAAAAAATGTAACTTTTATAAATTGTAACTTGGATGGAGAGTTGTCTCATTGGCACTCATACCACATCTTCCTATATCTAATCAATTACAATCGATTACGATTACAGATTACGATTACCCTATCCCTGGTATGTATGGAGATAATTGCATTAGAAGCTTGTGAAACTGAAATCTAAGAAATGATAATTTTTTTGCTGCATATTGATAAAAAAAAATGGAAAAAATCAAGTCCATACAAAATCTAAAGATCTTTCGAATCCGGTCACTAATTTTCGGAGTGTTCCACAAAGTCTTAGCATGTTACAATTTTCCAAAATATATTTATTTTTCATATTCAAGTTTTCGATTTGCTCGTCACATGCACATTTCCCTGTTTTTTTTCTGATCTAGTTGCATATATATATATAAGAATAATTAGCATGTTCCAGAGAGGTATACAGCCAGAGAGACATAAATTGCAGTTGATACTCCATGAATTTATTCGCATAGCAACATTTTAAACCAATTCTACATCAAGCTTCTATAGCCTGCTGTACTCGTCGATTGCTATTTAAGGAGGGAAATGGTACATTAAATGGAAGTTTTGTATTTATTTCAATTTATTTCTTTTTTTCCTATTTACTAGAACGTTTTCCCGTGAATTCATAATTGATAGCGTCCTTGCTAAAACGAGACAAACATTGAGAAGATTTAGTTTTCAGTGTTTACAGGGGAGGTAATATTTTGTCACTAGATTTCCCACTGTTTTGATGTATATGTAATATACTTATGAGAAACAAAATCATATACAACATGTACAATTTTCATGTATGAACACACTCACATTTAATAATATATAAAACTAGTTGTACGTAAATTGAAAATATACATATATTATCATTTTTATTTGTAGGAGAAATCGTCATTGTGAATGTTGTACTGTTTTGTTTGATCATTCTATTTGTCGTTATGATCATCTTAAGGTAATGCATGTATGGACCTGTATTGTGTACATATCATACAAGTAAAATGAAATATAGTATCATTATTAAGTTAATATAGAAATGATTATTAAAGCACACAGAATGATGTAGGCATTGTACAGTACAGTCTTTATCATAAACTTTTTATGACATAGCTGATCATTATTTACTACAAAACTAGAACTGTCAGTTTACGGTCGGACGATTTTTGTTTTGTTTTAATTGTTTAATATACAATAAAGAGATAAAGGATAACTGTCACTAAAACAACAGTCTAAAAAGTCAAAAGCTTAAAATAACATATAATCATGCGAATATCACCATACCGTTAAAATTTAGTGCTAGCATTTTTTAACCGCAGTACTAAGAATTTTTTATTATCTATATTTTGATGTCTACGTTTGAACTTCCGTTTGATAACAACTTTTGTTTAAGATTAGTGACAGTCATCACTTATGATTCGCAAACTTTTTAATGTGGCGAAAAAAAAGAAGTTTGTTTAGATTCAAACGGTCATTGTTTTCCTTTCAGGACTAACAACCGGATTATCATGATTATTTTTAACAAGTGAATTGTTGTTATACAATTTCGTGAAAACCTTTTGGAAATCCAATTCTCATAAGGGAATTCTTGCTTATTACAGTTTGATTTTATATGGTTAAAGCGGATGAAATGGCTTTCATTTTTTTTTTAATTATTAATTATCAAAATATTTCTTTTAAACAGCTGCAGTTATTGTTAAAAATGTTTATTTTTGTGTTCCTTCAGTCTTGAAGATGTTTGGTCATTCTTTGCAATTTTTGAATTAACAAAAATCAGTAGAAAATGACTAACCAATAGAGATCCAAATCGAACAGGTGTTACTTTATTTATTGAAAACTTTAAAAGTAGGAAAAAACTAAATGTTCTGTAGTATGTTGTTCAATCTTAATACATTTGTTGTTTTTTTATTATGTTGCCGTTGTCTTTTTCTTGTTTGATAATATTTTCGTTAAACTGTGATTTCTAAAATTCGAACTTGCTCCTTTAGACAAAAGTTATAAAACGTTTGTTTTTTTATAAAGGCTCAATACTCATTATAATAACATAAGCAGTTACCTATATGGCATCTACCACATTCAAAAAAGCACGCAATACAATGCATAATTAATCTTTATTCATTTAATTTAGAAAGCGCATAAATTTACAAGTGTGTCAATCAACCAACCAGAAATTTCGAAGAAATAACATCAAAACAACTTCAATGGTTGAAACAAATGGAAATAGTGAAAGGAATAATGGAGTACCTCAAAATGAATATGAAACGGTTCGTGACAGCTATACTGAGCCTTTGGAGCTGCATCATAACATCGTTCATATGGGCGAAATTTACAAGCAGGACATCATAAATGCTCAAACGGAGGAAACAGAAGCTTGAAATATTTGTATATATTAAAAAGATGAAAGTAATTGTATTTGTTTCTATTATTAGTAGTATTGTTTTTGCTAAATTCAACAACTCAAATTAACACATATTCCTTTTATTTATATTTCGTCTTATAAATGATCAATCTTGTTTTAAATTATTTTTCATCGTAAGATAGCGAATAGTGTTAAATTTCCTGTGTTTCTGGGACAACAGTCATCAACTATATAAATACGGGATAACAGTTTTGAAAGACAAGTACATACACATCTGTGGCTATACAACCAAAATTTGCCAACTTAACCTGATTGAATTACAGCCTAGCTTACTTTTAATATAAACACTAGTTTAAAACATTTAGTTACAAACTGTATTAATTTATTACATGTATTACTTTATTCAAATACCAAGATTACTTGGCATCTAGTTGGGTGTTTTAAAAAGACAAAATGACTCCAACTAATATTTGTGTTCCGTTGATAATCTTGTAAGGGAAATAACTTCAGTCTTAAAACTCCTCATCACCCTACAAAATTTAAACATTGAGTTACATTTGAACATGTACTGTCCATTTCTATATATAAATTATATCATCACTGATCATAAAAAAGATGATATTCTCTATAACGATTCATGTTGTCAGAGTAAAAGAGGGGCGAAAGATATCAAAGGGATTTAAAGCTCATAAGTCGAAAATAAACAACGCTATGGCAAAAAAAGAAAAAGACAAAAAGACAAACAAGAGTGCACAAAACAAAACATAAAAACTAAGGACTGAGCAATACGAACCCCACCAAAAACCAGGGTGATTTCAGATGCTCCAGAAGGGTAAGCATATCCTGCTTCACATGTGGAATCCGTCGTCGTGTGGCTAATGTAAATAAACAAAGTAAATGCAAACCCGTGATAAGTCTTATTCGTTAGGTCACATTCTTGGAAAATAACTTTATTAATGAATACATACTCCATTTATGGACTTTATGTACGTTCATGGCTCTACAATCTGTCGATACCTGTATCTTGGCATTACACAAGGTCATGTTTTTCTCTGACTGTTAATGACGTCTTTACAATAATCCATACTGGATGTTGGATTTGTTCTCATTGATATTTTAGTTTTAGATGCATGATTTTTTTATTAGTTGTTATTGGCTTTGAACAAGCTGTAAGTAACTGCGATTACTCTCAGATCTGTACGTAGTGTCTTTTTGTTGTGGGATGTATAAGTACCCTGCCACGTCCACTCTGTGTTTTTGTTATATGTATTTCTGTTTGTATCCATCTGATGAGTTAATAGAAATAAGAAGATGTGGTACAAATGTATGAGTCTCCAACTCTCTATCCAAGTCACAATGTGTAAAAAGTAAACAATTAAAGGTCAAAGTACGGCCTTTAACACGGAGCTTTGGCTCACACCAAACACCAAACAGCAAGCTATAAAGGAACATTTTCAACTGATTTTTATAGTTTGTTCTTATTTTGTACTGTTACACCAGGTTAGGGGGGGGGGGGGGGGGGGGGGCTGTCCCAAGTCAAGAACCGGTAATTAAGTGGTTGTCGTTTGTTGCTGTTTATCATATTTGTTTTTGTTCATTATTTTGTACATTAATAAGGCCATTAGTTTTCTCGTTTGAATTGTTTTACATTTGTCATTTCGGGGCCTTTTATGTCTGACTATGCGTTTTGGGTTTTGTTGAAGGCCGTGCGGTGACCTATAGTTATTATTTTGTTTCATTTTGGTCTCTTGTGGAGAGTTGTCTCATTGCGAAACGGTCAAAATATCATTGTTCCATTTTGTAGACTATCCCTTACCACTGAATCTTTTATTCCATCCACAATACGAGAATGGAATAAGCTTGACTTAAAAATTCGCAACATCGACTCTATATCTAAATTTAAGAGAGAATTGAAAAATGAAAGTGTCCAGAGTAGAGTTGCTACTTATTATATATACGGACCGAGGGAACTGAATATTATTTTAATTCAATTGTGATGTCCCGCTTCATTTCTAAGCTCTGACCTTTTCAAAGCTAACATTATACTGGATCCTTCGTGTCAGTGTGGGTCTGATATTGAAGATGTTCATTATTTTTTTATTTCATTTGCCAAAAATACACTGCATTAAGAGAAATTTTACTTAATTGGCTTACTGAAAACTTTGTTTTAGATACTAAACTATTAACTGGCGGAGACTTCGAACTTTCAAATGAACAAAATCTCCTAATTTTCAAACATGTTCAAGAATTTATTAAAAAAAGTCTAACAGATTTCTAGTAACTACACAAAGTGTTATTGCTACTGGCACGGACGATCATCGTCATCAAAACCTGTCATCATCACAGAAAAATATGATTTGCTTCTTTTTCTTTTCTTTTCTTTTTTTTTTTCTTCTTTTTATTGATAGTTAATTTGTATAATATCTAATGAATTTGTTCGCTTTACATGCATACTAATAATGTTATTATTGTATATATATACTTATATTGTAATATGGATAAGGATTTACTTGTGTCTCATCCATTTTGCTGATATTTACCAAATAAAATATGTTTGAACTAAGTTGTCTCATTGGCAATTATACCACATCTCCTTATTTTTATATGATCTATATCGGAGAAACACTTCAAAGATAACATGAGAGAAAGCTTTATCACCGACGTAATGTTAATTATCCTAAGCTGCAATTAATTTCTCTATATACATTTAAACCACCTTGACAATTCTATTTTTTCTATAGAAGTTAGTGTTATGGGCAAAACTCATCATTCAACAAAAGAAATATCATTATTCAACAAATTAACTCTCTTGAGTACCTAATACCACATACAAAAAGAAAATGTATTTAAGAGTTATGGACAACAATTACTTATGAATGCACATATGAATTGCAATTGTGTGTTGATTGTGTTTTGTCAAGTAATTGCGAAATTGTTTCAACTTTTGTACGCCCCAATATGATTCTCGGACATCGCAAATTTACACCAACTGCGGTCAATGGCTTGTCTTTTACTAAACTGTTTGACATACTTAGTACTAGAATCTAAGCCCAAATCGATATTTGAAGATGCCAAAAATACTTACTTTTTGAAAACTAAGGCCGTGTTCACATTGAGCCAAACTCAATGTTGTGTAAGTGTACTCTACACTTAAACTAAACTCAGTTACGTTCTCATTAATAAAAATCAATGTTAACATGTAGTTTGAAACAGGTTTTGACTACATACAGTCGATAGTCAATGTAGGACTTGTGTGGGTTAAGTGTTCATAAAACAAGATACCAAGAGCGTAGATTTTATTTTGAATATTTAAGGAAGTTACATTTTTTAAACTGCATGTTGAATCCCATGCACTTCATTTTCAAGAATTCAAACAATTTTTCTCACTTCCCTCCTTGAACAAATACATTTTTTCTTAAAATTTATCTCCCCTCCCCCCAATTTTTTTTTAAGAAAAATTGAAAAAATATGAATTGGTCTACGCCTAACTGATACAAAAGTTAACAGAGAAATTTTCAATTCAATTCTATTTAATGTACATGTAAATTACGTGTACATGTTGTTTACTGATGTGAACAATTTTCATGTACAGATGACAACAAATTTAATGTGAAACCAGTGTTCACTACATGGAACTTATTGTAAACAGGTTTACAGTACACAGCGTTTGGTGTGAACACGGCCTTAGTCTAGGTTAGTCTATGAAAAGGTATATACTGTGAAATTTATACCTTTTCATAGACTATCCAATTTAGCACATATGTACAACTTGAGTAACCTTTTAATTGATCTATTGATAGTTTATTTTGGATGACTACTTGTATCACAGGTGTTATTTACTCCCTCGTTTCACTCCTCCGAAAATAAAGTTTTTCTGAACTAGATATCGTAGAAAATACCAAACACAGTATAGGGTTGTGCGTTCGCTACAAGATCGCATTTAATTGAACATGTTCAACATAAATAAATACAATCAGCCATACATAATGAATCAATTTTTACTATACACAAGTCAATAAGATACGATAAGGTTACATATAAAATGCGTAAATGGGGTGGGAGGGTGAGGAATAGTATAACAAACTAACATAGTCCTTACTATCTTGTAACGAGTGTCGCATTGGTCAAACACACCTCAAATCTTTCTTATATACTGACTGCCGAAATCATCCGTGCAGAAAGGAATCCAATGGGTATTACCCTATCTCATTTAAATATAGAAAGACCGTTATATATAAAACATAGGACCGTAAAGAAATGTATTTTGTAAAACGGAGCTCATTAACGAAGTTTTGTAAATCTACTCACTAGTATCATTGTAAAATATGTGATTTCAAAAGACCCTTGACTCCAGAATGAAAAGATGGTAGCTGCTGGTGTAAGTATATTTATTGGTATAAAGCGGTGTTTTACTACCTTACATGGTAAGATGATAAAATAAATTGACCAAAGGCAGTCAATAATTGCAGTGGAAGCTTTACATGTCTTGAAATTTTTTTTCAATTCCACAGTAAAACTTAAGCTATAATAAATTTAAAACATATAGATAGTATGCAGTGGCGGATCCAGGAGGGGGGGTCCGGGGGTTGGAAAACCCCCATTTTTGGACGATCAATGCTTCTGAATGGGGACATATGGTTGGAACCATCTCCCCTTTTTTATCCTGGGTTGGAACCGCACTTTTAAAAATGGCTGGATCCGCCCCTGGTATGTTCCCGTAGTTAGTCTAGCGGATAGGCATTAAAACGCAACTACCAATAGATCAAAGATACTAGGGTTTATGTTTTTTTCATTTCAAAGTAAAAGCTAAAAGATGTATCAGAACATGTATATACATATATATATATATATATAGGTGGCACATTCTCTTCAGACATTACGGTTTTTCAATTCATGACATCGTCCTGAACATGCATGAAATATTTGCCACTGGACATTTAGCAATCAATAATCAATCAATCAATTCATGACAAAATAGAATTTGCCTTCACTTAATTTCCCTTTACAAGGTTTCATAGTACACACTTTTTTGTGTACAAAGTAATTGC